CAGGGAGGCCGGGCAAGAGACAATGATGGCCTGAACAAGGCTGTGTTCCTAGGGAGGGAGGGACACCCACAGCAGGCACTTTGGAGGGGAAATGGGTGGGACTGACTGATAGGCTGGAGGGAGAGTGGGCAAAGGACTTCCCAGGTTTCTGGCTTGGGAGAATGGGTGTATGGGGGTGCTGTGACCCTATTGGGGCATTTCCTGACGTAGTAGTGTCCGTTCTGCCTCAGGCTGGCCCCAGTTGCTCTCTGTGTCCCATTTTGCTAACACTACATAAATGAGGCCTTTATTCCTTGCTGGGATTCTTGAAGTATCCTCTTAATCTCTTCTAATCCATCCTACACACCGGTGCCAAAGTAACCTTCCAGGGACAGCTGAACAGGTTGCTGACTGCATATTGAATAATCTCCAGGTTCTTTAGCCTGACTGTTAAGATTCGTTGCTAGTGGGGGCATGGAGACGTGCTCTTTGCCCTTAACAAGTATAATTTTCCACTAAGGCATATTACATGTAAAGTAGTTAAATGTCAAAAGGTCTTTAGAAGGGCAACTGAGTTGTGCTCTGAGGGGAAAGAAGGAAGGAGGCAGAGTATCTCCTAGTGGTGACCCCAGGTGACCCTGGTTTTTTCCCATCGTGTCTTTCCAGGTGTGTCTTCCATTCTCCCTGACACCTATGCTCTCTGGTCTGTCTACACCACCTAAAAAGGACTCCCTTCTCCCACCTCTGTTTCTTGGCAGACTTCCTTGCCTTTGCCTGGGATACACCCCCCTGCCACATCTGCCTGTTGAAATCCTACCCATCTGTCAGTATTCAGCCCAAATGCCAGCGCTTTATTGAGTCCCCTACCCCGATGGGATCATCTTTCTAACGGCCTTCGTACGTTTTCCTGTGTACGGTACCTGCCGCCTGGGAACAGAGATGGAACCCTGGAAGCCCTAGCTGTGGGTCGGCCGGCAGATGTGTTTCATTAGTTTTTACTCTTTTTTTTTCTTAAACCAAAATTAATGTATTCACAAAATTACAACCAATATCAAACATACAAAAGTACAGAATATGCTGTAACCTTTACCCAGGACCTACCACCAAGAATGAACACGGCGGGCTGCCCACTCTTTAAGAGATAAAATATTACACATACGATTGCAGCACCCACCCACACGTTCCCAGAGCTGATCCTCACACAGTTTTCGAAATTTTGAATTAGGTGCCAATATTTAGAAATCGAGAGATTTCATATAAAATTTGGGAAGGTTTTACTTTCCTCGGAGAGTCCGAAGATCTGGGAACTTGGGGTACATCCCAGGCCTGAACCGGGGGTGCTTGGTGGCCGCCAGCTCCCAGGAGCAGAGTGTGTGGTCTCCCGGACACCACAGACCCCCATCACTCCCCGCCAGGCCTCTCGGCATTAGCCCGCCTCACTTACAGTCTGGGTGGCTGGCTCCCGCAGGTGTGTGAGTTTCACATCTTCGTGTAGACCCTTGGAAGCCCTTTGATTACTTGACCTGAGCCACGAACTCACTGGATGACCTCGAGCAAATTACTTACCTCTCTGTGCCGCCCCTTCGTCCGAAGTCCAATTAGGACCATTGTATGAAATGTGGAAGGGAATACCTGGTACACAATTCTGCCTCCCGTGGTCCGTGAACTTTTGTCTGAAACTCTCGGGGCTAGCTGTGTTTTGAAATTCGGATTTCTTTCAGATTTTCATGAGGTAATAAGGTAATATCATATATTAAATAACACCCCGAGGAGGCTCTGCGCCAGCACCTTGTAATTGCAACACATTGAAATATCTCCAGGACAAAAGCATGGATATTCACATGACCTGTGATACAGACTTGGCTCGCTGTCCTCATGGAAGCTTCCTGGGTGTCCAGGTGTAATCTGCACCCGGTTCCTACAATCAGAGGTCAGGGAGAGACTTAAGGGGCTGTTCCGGGTTGGTAGGCGGCAGCTACGCTGTTACAAGCAAAGGGACCTTACTAACGAGGCTTATCTTGGGTGGCCCTGAGATGAATGGATCCTTGTGCCCATCTGCCAGTTCTTAAAAAGTTTACATAGAGGCCTTCCCTGGGTTATGTCAGGGATACTGGGTGGGTGTTCTCAACACCACTTCATTATCTCAAGACCTGTCTTTGGAGTGGCCTTTGGGAATGGAAAAGGCCAGTGAGGGCTCGCATTCCAAGGACAGGGGAGGGGCTCGGGAGCTTCTGAGAGCCCTGGTCCAGCCTGAGGGTCAATCGGGGGTCACATCTCTTGGATGACCTTCCCTGATAGCATCATCCGTTTCAGGGTGGGCCAGACTGCCTGGAGCTGTCGGGGTGCCAGGGATGAGGGGGCCCATCCTAACCCCAGAGCTGCCCTGCCCTCATCCCAGACTATATTCAGCTCTTTCTTGGACATTTGGACTTACTAATGAGAGGTCAGTATTGCTCTTTGCATGTTAATGAATTGAGAATTTTATACGTGGAGTGAAAGACAGGGTCTCTGGGTTTCTACAACAGCTTGTCTGGCTGGCCTTCCGGTCTGCCTCACCCCCTCTCACTCCTTCAGGCCCCCTGCCACCTTCCTGTGGGCCCTTCACCCAGCCATTCACCCGCCTCTGCTCTCAAGGCCAGCCTCATTGTCCCCTCTGACACCCTAAACTATCTAATCTCCCCTGGGCTAAACCCTTCCCACCTGGCAGGCCAGCCTCCTCATTCCCCTTCACCCTCCTTCCCTCCCACCTCCACACTTCACCCTCTCCTTGGCACCGCTGCTCAGGCTCCTCACCTGTCTGGAATATCTCCCTCTTCTACCCAAGTCCCATCACCCCCTAAAGGCCTCGCTGAGGCCCCACTACTCTGTGGGGCTTCCTCACTGCCCTCCCAACATCCGGTGAGCTCTGTTCCCCGGACTCACCCTTAGGGCTTAACCAGGTGACCGAGCCCTTACCTGCATTTTCATTCACTCATTCACCCTGCTCCAGGTAGGGGAGGGGCCAGGAAATGGGGGAGAAGGGGACAGAGATGGAGATGGAAGGAAAGGGGAGAAAATGGAGGGGGAGAGAGGGAGGGAGGAGAGGAGAGGAGGGAAGAGGGCTTCTGTGCATTAGCTCTAAAGGTCAGGAGCCCTCAGTTCTGTGCCCAGTGTAAGTAAGAAGGGCCAGTTTCATGGGCCCAAACATTCCAAGGCTTTTAGGCTTATTCAGCTAGACCAACCAGTTCATCCCTTCCCCTCTCCTCTGTCTCTGCTCCCACTGCCCTCCCTTGCCCTCTGGCCACAGAGCTCCTTCTCTTCCTTGTGAGAATCCCTGGCAGGTTCATAGATAAGGAATCTCACCAGGTTAAAAACCCAGCTGAAGGGCCCTTGTCCCAGATTTCGCCACCCTTCTTCCCTTTCCTGGCTCCTGGCATGCACGTGTCAAGGTGTGTGCATAGCCCAGGAGGGGACAGGTGCTGCTCCTTGTGTTCTGTGCCCTGGAGGGAGGCAGGAGGGAATGTGTCATTCTCCCCTACCCCCACAGGATGGGGCCACCCTGCTCTGATACCCGATGCCCACTGTTGGTCCTCTGGCCCTTGGGGTTTTAAAAGTGATAGAAACCCTTGTCCCCACCAGAATATTTTTTCCCTTTCTCCTTAGAATGAAAGCATAAACTATCTCCTTAGAATGAAAGCATAAACTATCTCCTTCAGGGTAATCAAACTCAACTGAATTCATAATCCGTACATTCCCTGGGTGAGAAAGAAGCCATCTGGATGCGTGGTGTGACCCTTCCGTGGCTCTGGTTCGTAGAGACAGGCAACAGCCCAGTCTGGAGATAGGCAGCTCTCACCTCCCATACTCTGAGCCCAACAGCCACCTCCTTACCAGCTTCAGGCCACTCAGTTTCTGCTGGCCCTGACTGTGTTTCTTTCAACTGTTGGTCCTCTACTCAACTGAGGACCGTGTTGTCATTCAAGTCCCCAAACTTGCCTTGGTTGGCCTCCTCTCCTCAAGGCAACAGAGAAGGATGCTGGTTGCAAAGGCCAGTGATGAAGGGGAAGATGGAGGGAAAGGACAGAGGCTAAGGAGGTAGAGGGATAAAGCCTCATTCCAGCAGGGAGTGTGAGAGATAGATGGGGAGAGGAGAAAAGAGTAGGGATGAGTTGATTCTGCAGGGGAAGTGGGGGGTAGTAGACTTCTCTACCTCTTGAACCAGGTAGGAGACAAAGTTTTAGGGGCCTTCACACCTGTTCCCTTTACTTTCCTGGTGTGGTTTCCATGGTGTGGTTTCATGATGTGATTTGAAAGTTTAGATACAGGTTGTGAACTGCCAAGGTGGCCCCAGTGCGTCCTATGTCCTAGGGGTCTTCAAGTACATTGATATTGGTGATAGAGGCTTGTGGCATCTCTGCCTCTCCTTTCCCTGCCCAGGCCATCTGGCAAGGGCTTGAAGACCTCCCAGCTACCCCTCAGGGGTTCTCCTGGGTCTCCTACGCAGGGCTGAGCAAGAAGGAGGTGACCCAAAGGAACCGGCCTCTCCCAAGGAGCAGCATGGGCACACTCCACCTGTCTGTGCTCTGTTGCACCGCTAACCAAGCCCTCCACCCCACCCCCATTGTGCTATAAATTTAGGCAGTTCAGATTGCAAGATTCAGTGGACAGATAGGGGCTTTCTAGTCAGTCTAAATGTCCTGGTCACTTAGCAGTTAGTGAGTGGTATCTGATGATCAAGTTTCCTTAGCCATAAAAGGCAGTAAGGTTTCTAGACCTTACTGGAAGAACTTACTACTTTCTAAACCTTACTAGAAACCTTAGTAAGGTTTCTAAACCTCTCAGAGGTTTCTAGAGAGGGTTAAATGAAGTGATATTTGCCTGAAACACAGCAAATACTTCGTTGATCTTAATCCCCGCCCCCCGCAACCCTTCTGCCCACCTCCATTCCATGCTGCTTTTCTAAATAGGAGATAATGATCCCTAGAGATGGAGGGGGAAGGAGGAAGGTATGTATTCACGTCAACCACAGCGTCTTCCAGATTAGGCATTAAAACATTTATTACTCTTTCCACTGAGCTGTGCGTGGGACTAGGAATTTGTAAAAGATAAGAAATACTTTGCATGTAACAAAGGAAATGGAACTAATAGGCAACATTCTACACGGAAGAGGCCCGAATAGCTCAGAGCCAGGAGTGGAGGCTTTCGTATGAGCAGCTACAGCAAATCTCACTGTCTGTCCTCTGCAGTGTGGGCAGGACAGAAAGCTTCCTGTTGGGCCAGGGACTAGGAAGGTTTCCGGTGGTAGGAGGAAAACAGTAAGGCAGCCATCTTGTAAAAGGGAGACAGTAGGACCTGGGCCTGTGGACTTGTTTCTTCCTGTATGAAGCCAGAGGGAGAGAGCTCGATAGACGTCTCCCAACAATCTCTGTATCTACTTGTCACCCCCAGATCAGTGAGTCTTTGTTTTTAGGGTCTCTTTGTGCTGTTTCACCAGGGAACCAATCCACTCCATGGTTTTCTGCTTGGCTTCCTCCCAGCTGAAGAGCGGCTTATACCCCAGATCCCGCTGAGCTTTCTTATAGGAGAAGGTAAATACACTATTTAACAATGTCACTGTGTGGCGGTTGAAGGAGGGTGGATATTTGTAAATTGGACGGAGCAGAAAGCTCACTATTTCCAGTAGGAAGGCAAGCCAGTACTTCAGACATAGGGGAAGGCTCATTCTGGAATCAAGGGAGAAGCCCCATTCCTTGCTCAAAGTGTAGTTGAAGTCATCATAGCTTTGGTGAGGTGTGTCATCAGAGATGTAATAGAACTGTCCTTGGACGCTTGGGGCTTTCTTGGGGTCCCTTAGGGCCCTCAAGGCCAGAATGTGAGCCCAGGCCACATTGCCAACATAGACAGGGTTGGCGATGGAGAACTTGCTCTGATGTGTCAGGACCCCATCGTTCCTCAGGGCCTTGTATATACAGTCATAAAGGAATGCACTTCCTTCCCCATATATATACATGGGCCTTAAGGCACAGGTGTGCAAGGTGCCACCATTTTTAAGGGCCCACCCATTAGCAGCTAGCACCGCCTTCTCTGCAAGCTTTTTGCTGTAGGGGTATGGAACAGACCATCTTGATTCGAGATGCTCTTCTTCGTGGCCATTCTGGATGATTTCCCTGTAGGAGTTGGGGCCAGCCACCTCAATGGTGCTGGTATAGATGAAGATCGGCACGCTAGCCTGGGCACAGGCTTCCAACAGGAGCTGAGTACCTGCCCATGGGGAGTACAACATCAGCGTCAACAAATAACCCAAAGGGCCTACCATGGCTGCAGACCATGTCCACCCCCTCCCCCAAGTGAGATGGTTACTGCAGATCAGGAGGAGTGCATTCCTCTGTATCTCCAGCTAAGATCTGAACATGCTATAGCCATAGGAAAAACGCAAAAAGGCAAAAGTGAGAAGAAACCGAACTTTGGGTTCTGGAGAGCATGAATTCTAGGTTTTTTTTTGGATTTCCTGGACCTGTGTGTGTACTTTGAATTTTGGAAAAGGACAGAGGATTGCCATTTTATGTTTTGCTGAGTGAAGGCATTAGAAAATTTTCACTTATCCCTACCACCTTGTTAAAAACAGTTTATTTTAAATAAAATATAATTAGGAGGCCATACTCAGAATATGGACTAGAATTTTATCTAGTCCTGATTGAGTGTTCCATACAAAGGCCACTCCTAATTCTGACTGTGACTCCTTTTACTCAGGTCTGAAAAGTGGGGGTGAGAAACCTTCCTTTTACTTAGCATTCTGGAGCCTGACATTGGCCTTCTAGGCGGAGCTTGCTGGAGAACCAGAAGGGGAGTGTGCCCTCTGGTGGTTGATACCTATAATGGGATAATCTTGCAGAATCCCTTTAGCTGAGGGAGGTCAAGCAGAGCACCTTCCCCTTAAGTATACCCCCCTGCAAAGTTTCGTTTTAATTTCTCTCTCTCTCTCTCTCTTTTATTTGTGCAATTTGATTTTCCAGAGAGACAGACTCATTAAAAAAATCAGATCTAGAGGCTGAGAAAATGTGGGGCTAATCAACCTGCAGAGAAGGAAATGACCATTATTTGAAGTATCTTTTAAACCTGGAACTGACCTTGTTTTAATTAACTGATACCTCTACCACTTCTCAGGGATTTCAAATCCCCTGTTGTTGGGAATCCTGGAGAGCAGGAATTAGCAGAAGGGGCTAAAAAGGAAAACTTGGTTAATCTAGCACCCTCCTTGCAGTGTGGGAGTGGTGAAAGTATGGCTAAGTAGAAATTAGAAAGGGTCTTTCTTGAGATTGTATTACTTTAGGCTGGAGACCCTAAAGCAACTCCCAACTTTGTAGAGCAGGGCATGAAAACCAGATGGGACTGGGGGTTGGGGAGCTGTGGTCCTAGAGGGACTGGCCTCCAGCGCTCAGAAGGATGACTTTGCATGTGAAACTAGTAAGGGATTTAAGCTAATCCCTTAAACAACTGTGTCTCGTTTTAAAGTAGATTGGAAAGTCGCAAACCAGAAAGAGTCACCAGCCATTTACTGATGAGGATCTAGGGGGGTGTACTTTGGGCACCTAGCTAGAAAGGACCCTTTTACAAAAGACCCAGCAGCGAACTGAAGAAGTACTCTTATGGATATGGGGAAGCTATTATTGTTAAGAAGATACCATGGGAAGGCCAGGCCTGGATAATTCTGCCCTGCCAGACGTCTGTGAACTAGCTTTGCAGGTCTCTTGAGATGAATCCTTCTTTGGGGTGAGCAGGAAGGAGCTAGATGTTCTCATTAGGCTGCGGGATCTCGCACAGGCGTCCTGCTGGAAGGAAACTGGCCGGGAGCTATGGCCCTTCACTCATAGTGGACACGGGGACCCTTCCTATCACAGAGTTCCTAGCTCTCAGCCTTACTGTGTGACTACCAACTCAGAGGGGCACAGAAAGGCTAATATGATGACCAGGGAGGCACTCGTGAGGTCTGGTCCTTGCCCAGGAGAAGCAGAAGAGAGTTGGATAGCCAGAGTTCAAGGTTGGATTGGAGTCGACTCTTGATTGGAGCTTCAGTAGAAAGAGCTTTTGTGGCCTCTGGAGACACATAGGTGTGGGCTTAAATTCCAGCTTTCCTACTTGAACAAGTTATTTAACTTTGCTCAGCCCCAGTTTCCTCCTCTAAAAAACTGAGCATAGCAGCCTTGAATCTCTCAGGAGTGATAAGAAAAAGCAGCTGGAGCAGACTCAGCAGGTGTTTGGGGATGGGAGCCTCTCCTCCCTTCCTGTTCTGTTTTCTGAGCCTCATTCACCCACCTCACTCCATAGCCTCCCTGGGATACCATACCCTTCAGATTGACATTCATGATGGTCTCTCGGTGAAGGACATTCATGACGTCAATGACAGAGGCAGTGTGAATGACAACCGAGATGCCCTGGCAAGCTCTCTTCAGGCACTGCTCATCCAGAATGTCTCCTTCCACCATCATCAAATTGGTCTTGCTCTGGAGCTCTGTGTGAACACAAGTCAGGTCACTGGAAGGTTTTCTGGATCTGGAAGTTTCCCGTTAAAGGTGGCATTTTCCCAGGTCTTCAAGGACAGGTACATGGGGGAAAGGGTGGGGATGGGGGACAAATCCATGGAAGGAACAAGTTAAACAGAGGCACATGAGTCAATGTGTAGCATTTATTGGGAAAGAGTGAACATCCGTTTCCAACCCATTTTATTCTAAAGGAAGGAAGGAAGGAGGGAAGGAAGGAATTCATGCAGTGAGGAGTCAAGTACAGCTGGGATGAAAATTCTTTAAGAGATTCATGGGAAGTTCATAAAATTCATAAAGGAGAGTTAGGGTGATTATGGAGGGTGGATATAAGAGGAAAGAAATTGAATTTAATTCTGTAGGGAATGAGGACTCACACATGGATTTGAAACAAGAAGAGAAACATAAACACAGTTTTGGGGTCGGTGCAGCCAACCCGGGCTGCAGTATGTGAAATGGGTCAGTGTGGGGCATGAAGTGGAGACATTAATTGAGAAAGAAATCGAGAGAATGTCTGCAGCAGAGTTCAGAGGAGGAGGACAGAACCAGGGCTCCCCCAGCAGCTGCAGGGAAGGGGATGGATACACAGGCTCGACTTCTCAGAACCTATCCAGCCAGCTCTTGGTTCTTACTGGAGGGAGGCCAAGAGAAAAAGGTAGAATCCATGTTAACCCAAGTATTTCCTGCTTAGGTGACCAGAAGGATAATGGAGCCAGTAACAGGGAATTTAGGATGGGCCCAAATGAGAGGTTTAACTGAAAAAACAAACAAACAAACAAACAAACAAACAAACAAAAAACCAAAACCTGGTTAGATATCATCTAAAGCAGATATCAGTGACGAAAATAAGTCAGCCACCAAGGGACTAACATTCTGGCCACTGAGCCAAGGGCAGTGGATTCAACCTCAGGGACATCAGCTCCTTGGAAATCCACAGGAAGGGGCACTTCAGGTAACGTCCTCACTTCACACTGGCCAGTGAACTAAACATGGCGCTATGGATAGTTTGGATAAATACCCTCCACTTATTTTGTGCTTTCTGCTTTGCCCACACCACCACAGTGTCCTGATTTTTCTTTCACGGCTATCTCATGACAAAGGTATTCCGATTTCCACTATACAGACAAGGAAACTGAGGCGGATTCAGGTTAAGGGGCAGGTCTAAGTCACAGTTCCCTGGAAGACTCAGGCCTGTCCCCTGCCTTCAAGCCTGGTTCTCTTTCCCCTGTCACCCAAGGGCAGGACTCTTTTCCTTTCCCTGAGGCAGATTAAGGATAAGTCTGTGTATGTTATGTATGTATGTATTTAAAGGATAAGACAGTTTAACTGAAATAGGCAATGGAAGCCCCAGAACAGTGAGAGAGAAACTCAGAGTGAAAAATCCAGTGCAGGGAAATTTCCTTCCTGGGTTACCACTTGGAAGAACCATCTGCTTCTCCCTACACTTCTGCCAAGTTTGCTCCGTCCTGGGCAAGTTCTCGTTGTTGGGCAGCTCCAAGAAGGCCCAGAAGGGGGAGAAAGGCAGGGGGAAAGCTTCTGGGAATCAGTAGGATTTTCTCTGATTGTGTCCCCATCTCTGCCTCCCCGCCTCCTGCCCCGCTCCCTTCTTCCCTTCGTCCCTTCCTCCCTTGGTTCGTCCCTTGGTCAGTCCGCTGACATCCGCAGGCTGGCTCAGATCAACCTATTAGTTTGCAGGGGTGCAGAGAGACCAGAAGAGGGCGCTGCCGATGTGTCGGTATTAGAGGCGCAGCTCCCGCCCTCCCCAAGGCTCTGAGGATTCCTGCATTCTGCGCAGCCCCAACTCTCCCTTGCTTACACGGTCTGGGCTGCCTTGTAGGGAGGCCCTGAGAGAAGCTCCTAGACGAATTAGTGGCTAAGAGCACAGCCACTGCACTTAGACCTTCTGGGTTCAGTTCCAGCGTTGCCATTTTTCAGCTGGGGGGACCTTGAACAAGTTAGCCTTTGCTATGGTCTGAGAGTTTGTGTCCGGCCAAATTCACGTGTCGAAATCCTAATGCCTCTGTGATGCTGTCAGGAGATGGGGCCTTCTCTCCTTCTCTGAAGGAGACCGGGTCTCGAGGGTTTGACCTCATGAGGGGGTCATAGAGAAGAGATCCCAGAGAGAGCCCTCTACAGCAAGAAGACACAGGCTCTGAACCCCGAAGGGAGCTCTCACCAGAACATGACTCTGCTTTGCTCTTGGATTTCTGCCCCCAGAGCTGTGAGAAATAAAATATCTAATGGGTTTGAGCCACCCAGCCTGGGGTATCTTTTTGTAGCAGCCTTAGCAGACTAAGACACCCTTCTGTACCTGCTTTCTTGTCTTTAAAAAGAGGAGGATAACATTACCTATCCTCCAGGGATGGTACCAGGAGCAAATGAATCGACAGGGGTAGAACACGGAGCACAGTGCCTAGTGTAGACAGACCGCTGTGAGGATTCTCCACTGGGATCTGTACAGAGCCCCTGCCCGCCCCGGACGCAGCCTGACTGGTCACACCGGGGAACCGTCTTTTGGGCTGAACCTAGCCTTTCCCCGCATCGGCTGTCGGACTGTGAGTATTACTGAGACGAAAAGATCGCAAACAATTGATGCTGATGGTGTTATGTTCATGTGTGTTCATCAGAGGTCCCGTTGAAGCAAAGGGTAGAGGAAATAGGATGTGTGAGATGTTCAGAGCACAGGAATGAGGAAGAGAAGAGTGAAGGGTGCAGTCCTGGAGGACGGCTGCGGGTGTGGGAGGTTCCGTGTGGGGAGGTAGGGTCTTCCGGGCACCCTGGGCCTGCATGTTGACACCCAGTCTGCAGGGGCTGGGAAGGGGAGGGGTTGCTTTGGGGGACACACAGTGGGGAAATGGGAGAGACTGAAGACTCCCTTTGCCAAGAGGCAGCCTTACAGCCATATGACCGGGACGTCCATGATGAGGCTCTACTCTGAGCCCTGCAGTCCCTTAATCAGAGTGCCTGGGCAAGTTGCTTTACCTTCATGTACCTTGATTTCCTCAATATCCTGTTGGGTGAGAGTGCCTTTCTACCTTCCTCAAAGGGCTGTTTTGAGGATTTGTGGGGGTGAAACAGTGTGAAACAGTTTTTAGAAATCTAGGTTTGCATTTGCACCCGGGGCAGCAGTCTGGGGAAAGCAGCAGAGCGGTGAACAGAGTCTGCTGTCACTTTTTTTTTTTTTTAAAGATTTTATTTATTTATTTGACAGGCAGAGATCACAAGCAGGCAGAGAGACAGGCAGAGAGAGGAAGGGAAGCAGGCTCCCTGCTGAGCAAAGAGCCCGATATGGGGCTCGATCCCAGGACCCTGAGATCATGACCTGAGCCGAAAGCAGAGGCTTAACCCACTGAGCCACCCAGGTGCCCCGCTGCTGTCACTTTTCTTGTGGTGATAAGCAGGGACAAATGGAAGAAGAGATGTATAGGGAATACACATGAGGAACCCACGCTCTGGAGCCTCACAGTTTGTCTCTGGCTCTCTCCCATGCTGTTCGCTGTGTGTCCTCTCCACCTTCCTCCCCACACCCTGTCACACACACATGTGCGCGCACACACACACACACACACACACACTCAGCTTCACCTTCACTGGAGATGCTAAATGAAGCCACAGAAAGACCAGGGCAATTAAGAGGGGCAGGGACCTACTTGTAGGGTCTCCAGGTAATGGCGCTTGCCTGTCCTTTGGAGGTATTGCACAGCCATTGCCAAGTCCACAATCTTCAGAACATTAGGGTTGTTGACAAGGGAGAGATACATGATTTTATAAATGAGAAGAAAAGAGACCGAGAGGCCAGAGTGGCGGGTCTGCAGTAATCCAGATCTCGAGTTCTGGATCAGGGTCAGATTCCGTCTCCTGACAGCCCTGTATGTCTTACGTTACACCACCTCTGATTTCCTTTCTGATGACTTTGGACAGGGAATCATCCTTGATTTGGCTACAACTTTCCTTGATCAGCTAGACAAGAACCCCCTGTGTAGAGCTTAAGATGGAGCAACCCACCCATGAACTCAAGTTCACTTACTAGAAAATTCCTCCCGCTGTTCTGGTCTGAAGACTTTGTCCAGTGCCCGGATCTCCTGCAGCTCCTTTTCCTCCGCCAACAAGCGAACGATCCTCTGACCCAGAAACCCTCCTGCACCTGTCACAAGACAGCTCCACCCAGCCATGGTCAAATGGAAGCACTCTCCAGGAATGGAAAAACTGGTGAGCAGATTAGATTACAGGGTGACCCTGGGATGGCCAGAAAGAGAAGTCAAGTGGTTATAGGCTTATTTTGTTCCCTCCACTCCATTTTTGCAAAACTCCCATGCCCAGGAATAGTTGAAAGAAAATGAAGAAGTACTAACCTGTTAGACTGTTGGAAGCCACTTGGAAGAGCCTGGGTTCTGGTCTCCTTATTTCCCAAAGGCAGGCCTGGAGTTTTATCCGCTCTTGTTTCTGGCTCAGCCTCTTCACCTTGAACTCTTACCACATACTCATTGCTCATGCCTTTTCCAGGTTCCCTCCTCCCCCCATGAGTAGTGACCTTTAATATATCTCTCATTCCTCTGAGGCACAGGAAACAAGTTTCAGGGCCACAGTGTGATAAAGATTTGGTTCTCCTCGCAACAAGACATCCAGCAGTCAGTGCCAGCTGTCTGGGAGGCCAAGACCTGCGGATTTAAATGAAAAGACGAAATCTGCCAGCACAATGGGAAAGTTTGCCTTGTGAAGTAAACACATTTGGGGAGAAAATCCACTGTGTACTCCATTAGCTCCTCTCTCAGAGTGTCACTGGAAATATTACTGTCTTGCAAAGTGTGGACATCTGCACTGGCAGCAGCCTCAGTCACCTGTGAAATTCTATGGGCATTGACTTTCCTTCCAATACCATATATCCAGAATCTCAATTTTCGTTTCTCCTTGGAGACCTCCGGAGCTGGGGAGGAAGATTACAACACTGAAGGGAAGCTCTCTAGTGATAACCGTTTAGCTCTATGGCTTGGATAAGGAGTTGTGGCCACAGCGGATCTTATGGACGTCTTGGTTACAAAACCACTCTCAGCAGAGTCTCAGAGGATGCTGTGAATGCTTTGGGAGCTCCAGAGCTGTCCAAATACCAACCTCATAAGCTTTTTTTCCTACTTTAAAAAAATTGAGGTGTGATTTACATGCATGAAGACATCCAAATCTTAAGTGTTAGTTCAATGACCCTTTACAATTACATAATCATTGTAACTACCACCTAGGACAACATATGGAACATTTCCTTCACCTGAGAAAGCTCTTTCCTGCCCTTTTCCAGGCAATTCCCACCTCCCCCCACAAATCTACCCCAAAAACAATGACTTTCTGATTTTTAGTCCCAATAGATGCTCTTTGATTTTTTTTCCTCCTAAAGTCTTTATGGTTCCAGATATACATTTAAATATAGAACACATATGAAATTAAATTTTCTGTGTGGATTACAGAAAAGTTAACAGTTGTATTTCTCTATTGTTTGTCCCTTTTCTCTTTCATCAGCTTCTTTTACTTATCTGCTTCCTTTTATTTCCTTTGGCTTCAATTTAGTCTTGCTTTTCAAGGTTCTTAGGGTTAAAGCTTAGATTATTGATTTTATCCCTTTGCTTTTGTGGCTATTGACATGTAAAGCTATAAATGTCTCTCTCAGCATTGGGTTGGCCACATCAGACAATTTTGATGTATTGGATTTTATCATCATTCAGGTAAAAATGTTTTCTAATTTACCTGTGATTTCCTTTTTAATACATGAGTTATCCCAAAATATGTTGTTTAATTTCTAAAATAGGGAATTTTCTAAATATCCTATTGTTATTGATTTCTAACTTAATACTTGGGGTCAGAACATACACTCTGTATGCTTTTGACTCTTAGATAATTATGGAGACCTGTTTTGAAGTCTAGCCTATGGTCCTGGCAAAAACACGACATGCACTCAAGAAGAATGTTTTCTTCAGTTGTTGGGAGAAATGCCCTACAAAGATTGACACCCTCCTCTGGGCCTTTCTTTCTCTTTTCCTTGTGTTGTGGACATTCTCCTCTTCCCACTTGAAATTTGACTCCTTGTGCTACCAACACACTTGCCTAGGGAACTTTGGCTGTAGTCCCTGAGTTGTAGGAGCGTGTTCTTTGAAGCTGTCAGCACTGGCTAAAGGCCCTCGGTCTTGCTGAGACCTGTGGAGCCCTACCTGGGGCCACCAATGTGTTTCATACAGCTTTGCCTGCTAGAGTCATGCTGTCAGTGAACCACACACAACCCCCATCCGGTTTAGCACTAGGGTACTCACTACCCTAGCTGTCAGGAGTGTTGGAGGCTGATAGAATTCGGCCAGTGTCCCTCTGGGAATCGGTTTCAGCCTAAGAGCCCATAGAACAAGGGTTTAGAGTCTCTGAGTGGAACCAATAACTATAAATTCTATAGAAAATGAGAAAAAAATGAAGGGCAAGGCAGATGGGGACCACAAAATCACATTTCTTTTATTTCCAAATAAATTTATTGAGATATAATTTACATGCCATAAAATCCACTTGTTTTAAGTGTGTAATTCAACCATTTTAAGTAAAATTATGGGCTTGTGTAACCATCACCACAATCTTGCTTTGGAACATTTCTGTCATCCCCAGATCTCTTGTGCTCATTAGCGGCCACTCCTCATTTCCACTCCTCAGCTCTAGGCAACTTCCAACTGCCTTTCTGACTCTGCGAATTTGCCTTTTCAGGACATCATATGATTGAAGTCAAACTATATTTGGTCTTTTGTATCTGGTTCATTTTGCTTAGCATACTCTACTTCCGAGTTTCATCTCTGTTGTAGTGTGTGTCCGCATTTCATTCCATTTAGGGGCTGAATACTCTTTCATTGTATGGATACACCATATTTGGTTTATTGGTTCGCCAGTTAGTGGATAATTGGGATTTCCCCCTTTTTGGATGATTACAGATAAAGCTGCTGTGAATACCCATGTAAAGTGTTTGTGTAGACCTATGTTTTCATTTCTCCCAAGTAGATAGGTAGGATTGAAATCACTGAGACATACGGTAAATTTATCTTTAACTTAAGAAGGTGCCAAACTTTTTTCAAAATGGCTACACTTCCCACCAGTATTGAGTGAATGTTTCAATTTTTTTCCACATTGTTTCTTGACATTTCCAATCATTACACACCTTTTTAAAAATTATAGCTGTCCTAGTGGGTGAGAAGTGGTGTTTCATCATGCTTTTGATTTGCATTTCCTTAATGACTAGTGATGCTTTTCATGTGTTTATTGGATGTACCTGTACCTTTTAGGTGAAATATCTATTGAAATATTTTGCACATTTTAAATTGGGTTATTTATATTCTTATTGTTGGGTTGTAGGAGTACTTCATATTCTGGATACAAGTTCTTTAATAGATAAGTTAACCTACAAAATAAAACTGCCAGTTATTTTACCAGCAAAAATGGGTTTATTCAGGAAAAGCAGAGAATTGCAATCCCAGATAAGCAAGCTAGGACAGAACCATAGACTAGTGCACCAAACAAAGAATAGGAATGCTTTTTTTATAGAGGAAAAGGGGAAGCTGGGATGCTGTTAACAGAAAGTCCATTGGGGTGAAATGCCATTTTGAAGGATAGTAACTTTTCATTGATTGAGCTGTGACAGCCTCTTTGGTTGGGCTCCTTCTGGGGGAGGAGGAAAGCCTTTTCGGGTAGTAAAGTGGTATCTACTTGCAAGGTACATCTCCTGGTTTGGTACGCAATTGACAATGAGTGGTTGGCATAAGCCCTCCCCCTGCGGGCCTACTGACTCCATCCTAAATGAAATTTCTTTTTATTTATTTCCACAGATAAATGATTTGAAAGCATTTTGTCCAATCTATGACTTATCTTTTCATTTCCTTAGTAGTGTCTTTTGAAGCACAAACATTTTTAATTTTGGTGAAATCCCATTTAAAAATTCTTTTCTTTGGGGGTGCCTGGGTGGCTTAGTTAGTTAAATGTAGGCTCTTGGTTTTGGCTGAGGTCATGATATCATGGGTTGTGACACTGAGCCCTGCACTGGGCTTTACCCGAAGTAGGGGGTCTACTTGGAGATTCTTTCCCTATGCCCCTCTCCCTGCTCACAGGTACGCTCTCTCTCTAAAATTGATAAATAAATCTTTAAATTTTTTTTTACGATTTTATTTATTTATTTGACAGAGATCACAAGTACGCAGAGAGGCAGAGAGAAAGAGAGGAGGAAGCAGGCTCCCCGCTGGGCAAAGAGCCTGATGTGGGGCTTGATCCCAGGACCCTGGGATCATAACCTGAGCTGAAAGCAGAGGCTTTAACCCACTGAGCCACCCAGGTGCCCCTAAATTTTTTTCTTTTATCACTCATGTTTTTATCTAACCCAAGGTCATAAGGATTTTCACCTGTTTTGTTCCAAGGGGTGTATTGTTTTAGCCTTTACATTTAGGCCTATGTTTTGAGGGAATTTTTGCCTATGGAATTTTGACGGAATTTTTGAGGGAATTTTTGCCTATGGTGTGAGTTAATACTTTAAATTCATATGGCCACTTGATTTTGACAAAGATGCCAAGTAAATTCAATGGAAGAAGAGGATTTTTTTTTTTTAAAGCAAATAGTGCATCAGACAGGTGCTCAAGGAAGATCAGGGCGTGTCATGTAAGATGTGGCCTATCTGTATCTTTACCATTCGACGTCAGAGTTTGACAAGAACTCCCCAAAATGCCATAGCAAGGGTTAATCAATATGCTGTATTAGGAAAACTCACAAAGGCCAAGTCTTGGCAAAGAAACAGAAGGCATGATTTCCCCATCCTTTCATTCTACACTGATGCCTAAGTGGTGCCCAGTGTGGGTCCACATTCCAGTGTAGGGACACTAGCCTCCTTTATTATAAAGGAGACTATTATTTTATAAAAAGATCTCTATGTCTGTGTCTTCTTTGGTGAGGAGTCTGTTCAGGTCTTTTACTCATTTTAAAATTAGGTTATTCACTTTCTTATTGTTGAGTTTTAAGAGTTCTTTGTAAATTTTGGATAACATTCTTTATTGGATACCGATTTTGTAAATTTTTCTCCCAGTCTGTGACTTGTCTTCTCATTCTCTCTCTTTTTTTTTTTTTTGCCAAAAATTATTTTTTTATTATTTTTTTTAATTTTATTTTTCATAAACATATAATATCTTTTTATCCCCAGGGGTACAGGTCTGTGAATCGCCAGGTTTACACACTTCACAGCACTCACCATAGCACATACCCTCCCCAATGTCCATAATCCCACCCCCCCAACCCCCATCCCCCCATTAACCCTCAGTTTGTTTTGTGAGATTAAGAGTCACTTATGGTTTGTCTCCCTCCCAATCCCATCTTGTTTCATTTACTCTTCTCCTACCCCCTTAACCCCCCATGTTGCATCTCCTCTCCCTCATATCAGGGAGATCATATGATAGTTGTCTTTCTC